TCCTTGTGTAACCCAAGGATCGACAGCTGCAGATGGTCTCGTCCTTTGCCTTGTTGTCCCTGCTGTTCTCTCCCACGCTACCGGGATAATGGATATTGTTGGGTCGCTTAGAGCCAACGAGAAAAAGTCGGTGACGACTGATGAGGCATGTCTTCGAAGCGCGTTGATATGGTGCGGAGGGGAGGCGATTAGGCAGGTAGACAGGCAGCAAGCGCTTCGTTTCTTGACAGTGCCACTGTAATGAAAGTCATTTGGTCAGCGAGCTCAATTCCTGTAGTTTGCTTGATTACAGGTCCACGAGACTGGCTTGTTGGAGGACTGTCCACTGAGAATGAGTCCGTAAGATTTCGCTCTCACTCTCTTGGAATGGGGACAAATCAAGTGCATTTATTCAGCAATGATTCTGTGGGGCTGAACGCAGGTGAGGTTGACAACTGGTCCATTGCCAAAGGCCTCGCAGTGAGTCAGTGACAGGGCTGGGATCAGCCTAGAGACAAAGCTGCAGCTCCAGGCCACTACTAGGCTCACCAGGCACCCACTCCCAGTCATCGCCAACACTTCAGGTACAAAAGTAGATACTTAGAGAGGTGCCTAGTATCCATTAATTTCGTCTCTTTGGCTTCTTTTACTAGATCATTGTCTGGTCATCTGCTGTCTGGACGTTGTCTCCAGAGCTCTTTGTATTGACTGTATCTTCTCTTTATTTAGTTTCTTTTACTCGTCATCCAGCTCCAAGTCCTGTTCGCCTTGTCTTGAAGCTGCTTTGTAACTTCCAACCCACCTTCAGGACAGCTTCGTCTAGCTAGCCTATATCAACCCGTCCTGAAGACATAAGGACCAGTCATTCTCACCGCCACAAGCTGAGAGCTCCTTTCTGTCCTGTCAGCCAATCTTTAAGAGCCCAAGGACGCAAGGCGCTCCGTGTTCTAAAGGCATTCGTCTTGATTTCCTGGCGAACGTCAGAGATACATTAGTTTCTTCAAAGTATTTCTAGCTCACTATCCCCTTCCGGATCGCTGTCTTTCTTAATTCTTTACTTTCAGTTTGAAGCTGTTCCCAATCCTTCTTCGATCGTGCTGATCGTACTGCGAAGGCCGATAGCAACAGCTCTACGATTTAATCTTCCTATAATGTCAACTGACCCCAGTGTTGTCCCTAGCTCCACAAGCTCCCCGTCATTGATCTCAGTGCCCGACACCCCGACCGATCCAAGCTCCGGCCCGTTCACCCACTCTACTACCACGCCGCCTTCCGAAGCTCCACTGCGGAACCCGCCCCAAATTAAAGAGGCCCAAGCTACGCAGTCCGCTACGATGGCCGACCCCAACGCCAACAGTAATGCTGGATTGGATACCAAACATGAGGTAGAGCCTTCCATCGACAATAATGGAGCCAAGACGGAAGCAAAGCCATCTGTTTCTGTAACGGAAAATGCTGCCGTCAAAGTCGCATGCAAAAAACATTCAGGGAAAGAGTCGGACGCCGCCGGCCGAAAACGTGATTCCAAGAAAAAGAACCATAAATCGATCTCAACGCCGGACGAGAATACGACCTCGGAGTCAACTTCAACCTCTGGCAGCTGTAGTGTCAGCGATTCTGGCTCGGAGGATGACGAGACGTCGTCCAGCTCATGTGAATCAGAGACATCTCGAAAGAACCGAAGAAATCGGTCAAAGAACAAAGCCAAAAAGGTCCTTAAGGGTAACCGGAAGAGGAAGTCTCGGTCACACCAGCAAGTAGAAGTAGCTTCGGATACAGACTCTACCAGTGATGATAATGACGAAGATGACGACCCCCTGGACGAGAAAACGCTGAGAAGGCTTTTGACTAGGCTCCAGGCGAAGAGGTCGGCAAAGAAGCTTCGATCCAAGGGAGATTCCTCCGAGGATCAACCGGAAGAGGATGTTGAGGCCAATTCAGAAGAACTGGCTTTGCTACTGGCAAAAGAAATGGCGGCTCTGAGTCTCAAACTTGGCGACGGACGCAAACTAGGCGATGGACGCTGGGGCAGAGCTCGCGGAAAGAGACACGTGGGCGGCCTGACAGATGGTCAAAAGGGCAACCTGCAGAGGTCTAAGCACAAATTGAAAGCTGCTTCGAAAATGGCCTTCAAGCGGGTTGATCAATGTGAGTGATCGTAACTCGTCCCCCTGTATGAGGGCGACATGTGCTGACATTTTCTTCCCTCTCAGTGTGGGATAACACGATTCATAATTACAAGCTCACCGAGACTGTTGATGATACCGGTGCGAATGAGTGGGATCAGTATATTTTTACGGTTCGGCGCAAGTTTGACTGGGAGAACAAGTATCTGGAAACTGTCGTCGATATCAAGAGCAAACACTTGCGGGACGCTCTGGCTAAGATCATGGACGGTGTCAAGGGCGTGAGCTTGGTACAGGAGACTGCCGTTGTCGATCCAAACATGCTCTTCCTGTATCTCGAGGAGACTCGCGCATACATGAAGGAGCTGAAGCAGCAGGCCAAAAAAGAAACGAAGAAAAAGGCCAAAAAGCTGGCGGATCTCAAAGCAGCGCAACTCAAGGTTCTCATCAAGTATCTGGACACTGACTACGCAGAGACCAAAAAGACTCTGTATCCTTTGCTGGAAGCGAACATGATCACCTTCGATCTGCTCTGGGCACTATACAAGCCGAACACCATCGCCTATACATCGACTTATGGCAATCAGGACGAACCACGTGCCTTCAAGATTGAATACGCCACCAAGGAATCCTCTTTCATGAAAGGTCAATGGTACAGCATCGAGGGTCGCTACTTGGAGTACGACGGCAAGTCATTCGGCATGGGAACAATGGCTGCTGAGGTAGAATTCTTCAAGGGCGTTCGCAAGATTACGAGCCTCGGATGTTATCCACTCAAGTACCACAGGGAGGCTGAGGAGGTCAAGGCCAAGCTGATCGAGCGCGGCAAGAAATTTGTGGCGCTTGGCGGTATGAATTACCGCTTCCACAAGGGAATGGCCTTCTACAAGAAGAAGCGGACAGTCATCAAAGTCAACATCAATGGTCGAGTAATGATTGACCCCGCGATCCATCGTCGCATCAACCCCAACTACCCAATCAGTACTGTTCGTCCCAAGGATCCTGATATTCTAGGTGCGTCAGATGACGAGGCGAGCGATGACGGATGCAGATGCGGAATGTCTGATTCGGATGTCGATCAGCAACAACACGAAAGTCGAGACTCTGATAACCCCAAAATCGTGTACAAGGTCGTGCAGGACAAAGACGGTAGACCTCGTGTCGTGGAAGTGGAGCTCGATGAGAATGGGAATGTGATTCAAAAGGAGAAGATGGACGACGTGCAGGACCCCTCTGACCGTGAGTTCACAGAAGAGGAGTTGCTCATTGCAAGTCCCGTCGTTCTGGGGTTCGCCTTCAGTGAGAAGTTGTGGCTGGAGTTCAGCATCTCTGGAATCAGCGACATTGACTGGAATGAGGACGCATTTGACTCTCTTGTCCTTCCGGACAACCAAAAGTCGATCGTCAAGGCCCTTGTCGAGTCGCATACCTTCCGCGCCGCCCAGAACATCGACGATGTCATTCAGGGCAAGGGTAAAGGACTTGTCGCCGTGCTACATGGACCACCCGGCACGGGCAAGACCCTGACTGCCGAAGGTATTGCGGAGTTGCTAAAACGGCCTCTGTACATGGTCAGTGCAGGAGAACTCGGAACCGACTCAAGGACTTTGGAAGCCGAACTCAACAAGATTTTGGACATCGCCCACTCATGGGGCGCAGTCCTTCTGCTGGATGAGGCCGATATTTTCCTCGAGAAGCGCACAATCCAGGATATCCACCGCAACGCTCTTGTGAGCATCTTCCTCCGCCTCCTCGAATACTTCCAAGGCATTCTCTTTTTGACCACCAACCGTGTGGAAACCTTTGACGACGCGTTCCAATCTCGTATCCATGTCGCACTACGATACGGTGACCTTACCACCAAGGCAAAGAGAAGCGTCTGGAAAATGTTCCTGGAAAAGGTCCAGGCTAAAGAGGGCGTACAGACTGCAAAATTCACAGACAAGGACTTCGATGCGCTGGCACGTCACAACCTGAACGGCCGTCAGGTCAGTCCCCTTGCTTCCTCCTTGTCATGCAAGCATGTATCGACGGTTGCTAACACTCCTTGTAGATCAAGAACTCCGTCCGCACGGCTCAAGCGCTAGCAGTCAACGAACAGACTCCCCTATCGATGCAACACATCAAACGTGTCCTTGAAGTTGCCGAGACTTTCGACCATGACCTTCGCGGCGGGACTGGCTACATGGACGCCATGCGAAGCTATACGTAATACGTAACACGACAATCCGCTTCGGGTTCTCTATGCTAATGAATTTCCTTCCCTCCTTGCTTCTGTATTTGCTTCTCTACTCGCTTCTCTCCTTGCTTCTCCACTTGCGTCTCTACTTGCTTCTCTGGTGATACGGTCGTTCAGGAATACCCTTGCTTTTTGCTCCAGAGACAGTTTCTGATCGTTTCGTTTTCATTTTATCTCGCTCAAGCGTCGTCTGAACATTCTCACTTTTGTTTCTTTTTCTGCGATGTTTTTTACGATACGGCCAAGATTGGTGAATGATACGCAACAGTTATTCGTCCCAGGGAGGAAATATGCCTGATACTGAGAAGATCTAGCGAGAACGAGTCAATCCTTCTGATGGCAGATGTCTTGCTCAGGGAAACTATATGTCAAAGATACGAGCGAAGAACGAATTCAGGAACAAATTGAAATTTTTATTTATAGGAAATACATGCCATCTGCTTTTCCCATCAAATTCTCGCCAGTCATCAAATCCTCGTCAAGGGAAGAGAAATGCTTCAAACTCTGCAGCCGCATTCATCCGGTATCAAAGTCGATGCGGATGCGCAGCATATAGAAAAGGCGGGAATAATAGGCTAATGACAAAGTACACAAGTGACTGTTGTACAGGGACGAACGTAGCTGCAGAATTATTCACAATTAATTGGGAAAGACATTTAGGGGTTCTGAGCGACGAAGTCACGACCCTTCTGAATGTTCTTCTTGAGATCAGTGAGAGCAGCCTGGATGAGCTTCTCCTCGTAAGCGTTGACCTTGCCAACTTCAAGGATCTTCTCAACACCGTTGGGGCCGAGCTCGACACGGGAGGCGAAGAAGTCAACACCCTGGTCCTTGTAGAGAGGGCTCTCAACGAAGGTGGGCTCGATGACACCCTTCTGGCCCTGAGCGGCCTTCAGGAGGGACTCGGCGAAGCGAGCGCCGGCCATGGCCATGGAGAGGGTAGCGGAACCGGCACCGTCCTTGGCCTTGACGACCTCATCACCACCGAACTGGATGCGGTTGACGAGCGCATCGCGGGTCTCGCCCTCAATATCGGGGTGGTTGGACTGGGAGAGCAGAGGAACGATGGTGACACCGGAGTGGCCACCAACAACGGGGACGGCCTCCTGGGCGGGGTCGGTCTTCTTGATCTGGGAGATGAAGCGGGAGGCACGGACGACATCGAGGGTGGTGACACCGAAGAGACGCTTGGGGTTGTAGACACCCTTGGACTTGAACACCTCGGCAACAATGGGGACGGTGGAGTTAACCTGGCGGTGACATTAGTGCTGCTGATCTAGATATGATTGCTCGGAGTACGTACGGGGTTGGAGATGACCAGGATGTTGGCCTCGGGGAAGCCTCAGCAGCAGCCTTGGCGAGGTCACGAACAATAGAGGCGTTGGTGTTGAAGAGGTCTGCCAATGGCAGCGTCAGTAATTGTCCTTGCATAGAGAAGGCCAATGCACATACCGTCACGGGTCATGCCAGGCTTGCGAGGAACACCGGCAGGGATGAGGACGATCTCAGAGCCCTTGAGAGCATCGCGGAGACCAGAGGGAGTAGGGTCGTAGCCAGTGACGGTGCTGTTGGTGTTGATGTGGCTCAGATCAGCAGCGACACCTGCCAAAAGATCATCGAGTCAGCATATACTGGAATATTGGAATTTTGGCAACGCAAGTTTCGGATGTCCGGAGACGTACCAGGGCCACCGCGGATATCATAGAGGGCAAGCTCAGAAACACGGGGGTTGAGCTTGAGCAGGAGAGAGAGAGGCTGGCCAATGCCACCAGCGGCGCCGAGGACAGCGACCTTGGAGGCCTAAAGATGCAAATGGACATGGTTAGCACATTCGCAAAGCTCCGAGGTACCGAGCCGAGCGATGGGAGATGGGTCTACATACCTGGCTGGCAGAGGCAGAGAAGGCCCGCTTCTGAAGGAGGTTGAAGGACTGACGAGCAGCGAACATTTTGTCTATGATCCGAAGACGGAATTTGATCTATCCGCGAAAGAAAATGAATTGAGTAGGGAGAAGGATGGAGATGATCTGGATGGGGAAGAGAAGGAAAAAAGAAAAGGAAGGAGGAAGAGGTGACGGTTAACTTGCCGGTGAGAAGGATTTGGGGCGGCTAATTCGCTCCGTTTCCGACTATCTCCACAGCGCGTTGCGGAACTTCTTCGTGCGTCACATGGAGATGGAATTAGACCACTGCCTTGAATTTTCTGGGGAAACCCTCGTTGCTCTTTATGATATCTATCCCTATACGATAAAAAGACCTGTGTGGCAGATATTGCTTTTACTAACTTGTTGTTGCCCTGTCATTGACAAACATCAACCTGATCGTCCCACTGATTGGTCTCTTGTGTTAGGCTATTCATCCGTTCTCTGGAGAACCTAAACAACTGACCAAATGTACTAGGACCGGGTTCCCTCGAGCTAGTCCTGTGAGATCAATTGCAGGTAAACATGTTTGATTATCCATTCAAGCGACTCACTGATATCTCAGTCTGTCATCCCATAGCAGCGGGAGAAAGGAATTGCCTGTCTAAGGTCAGACAGCCGGCCCGACATTTTGCAATGCGAACTGAAGATTGGCCCGTCAGCAGCGGCCTGTAGGAGATCGACTACATGCTCCCTTCCGCCTTTTCCATCCGGTCGTACCCTACTACTGTTGTCTGTGCAATTTCAATTCTATTGCGCATCCTCCGTATGGACGAGAACGCATGATCTCTCTTGTACGTCATTCTTGATGATGCACCGACTCCAGATGAAACTCAAGAACTTGAGAACGACAGCGCGCAACCCGACAACGTAAATCGGAAGCAAACAAGATCGAGGTAGACCAGAACGCCTGCGCTTTCAAAGCCATCCGAAGCAAGAAAAATGCATGACGCAAGGGGAACAGTTCCAAAGAAATGAGTATATAGACACATAAAAATTCACCTCAAAAAGCGTAATACCAACCAGCAAAAGAGGAAGAAAGCGAGAACACCACCCCAAAATATCCACTTGTCCTGCTTTGCTCTTCGTTCGACTTTTCGAATCGTGTCACCACTCACACCCAGGGTATTCGCAACACTGTATAGCCGGCGCTGCGTGCCTTTCAGCACCTCGCGCTGTTGCCCAAGGTCTGTCAAAACAGCGCGGCCTCTATCGAGAAATTCATCCAGTTGCGAGTTCGTGTTGGCAAAAAAGGATTGCTCTCGGAGCGCATGCGTCTCCCTGGTGTAATCCGCTGGTGAAGCTCCGAAGCTGAGACCTGAGCGGGATGATGAAGGGTTTGCGAAAGGCGAAGATTGGGGGAGGGAAGACTGGGCGTACGGGTTCTCGGGAGTCGCTGCGTGGTGTGGTCGTCGGCCAAGCAGCTCGTTGCGATTTGTCACCGATTGCTATATAGCAGCGCACCATGTTAGCGATTGCCAGGACATGTACAAAGGGGAGGGGCTTGACTCGGATGAGCTTACAGCTTCTTCACGCTCCTTTCGGAGTTGATCAAAGTGTGTCCTATAATCCGCAAGCTCGGCGCGAAAATTCTTGACTCTTTCAAACGCCTTTTCTTGCTTCTCAGGTATCAGTTCCTTCTTGGACAAGGCGGAATAGTCATCGATAGTGCGTGATAGCGACGCCAAGGAAGCTGCAATCTGGCCTAATTATCCGAGCATTAGCATGTCACATAGACTAATAAAGAAACGCTCAGCGGTGAACTTGTAGCCCTGTACCGGATCTGGCGTGGGAGCGCATGTCTTCGAGCCGTACCTTGTAAAGCTGCAGATGTTGTTGCGGGCGACTGAGAGAATGTGTCCAGATCGCGGCGGATAGCAGAAGACTGCTTGAGTGCTGAATTGAAAAGGGAGTTCTGTGATCAAGTATGGAAGTGATATGTCAGTCATCAAACAATGCGCTTCGATTAACGACAATGGCGGGATTCACACACCATATTTGCTTTTGCAGAAGCTATCGAAGAGAGCTAGTTGTTTGTTTGTGTATGGTTTCACGAGCAGAACAGGATATGCTCCATATGATCAGGCAAAAGACGCAATGCTCTCCAGGCGTATGTTCGAAATTAAGGTCAACAAGAACCGTTAATCGGTGACGAGGAAGAAGTTATACTGCAAATCCACCGAACGTTGTCAATAATTCTTGTGGAAGGCCGAGGCCACATGTTCTGCAGCGGATGCGAATTTGACGTTGTTGACCGCCTCTGACATATGAGCTGTCACTACTTGAAAGATGGACACTTGATCACAAGTTAACATCTAGACCTTGCGGCTTTCAGTATAATGCCATGGTTTATCTATAATTTTATTTCTTGAATACGATGCGACGGGGATTTTCAGTGATTATCTTACCATACTACTTTTATCCACCTTGTTGTTGAATTGCCAGAACCGGTAGAGACAGCTAAAGCATATATATTAGGTGTGACTTCAATGTGAGAGACGAGTGGGTTTATTATCTTCGAATAAGTTACAATATGACGAGAAAAGGATCGCGAACTTCATCTCCCCCGGAATTCATGTAAAACCGCTGGGTTCACCCGATCATAACTCCATATATGGAGATAAACTCAAGAAGCACTGGGCCCCTGCTCATATCATATCCAGGACGCATCAAACCTAGTTAGGAGGGTACTTGTTTTGTAGCAGCCACCTAAATTCAATTCATTAGCCCAAATTCTCTTCTGTGCCTTGTCGCAGGATGCCGGTTCAGAAGAAAGTTGAAAACTCACTTGCTGACAAAGTAATCGACCGTACTGAAGGCTCCGACGATACCAGTCCATGTTCCAACAAGCTTCCACGACAGCTTGCCTTCAGCATGCTTCCTGTATGCGCCATATCCGAGCGCGGCACCGACAAGGGCGTACAGCAGGGCATTCCCGAGGAAGACAGGGTTGCGCTTGGCGACATGGCCGGCGCGCGTAGCCTTCGCTTCCGCCTTCTCCGCCTTCCTCTGCTCTTTCCGCTCCTCTTTCTCCTGTGCCTCTCGTTCTAAGCGATCAGCCTGAGTACTGGTCTTCACTTCCTTGTTGAGGAAATCCGAGTCTACTGAGACCACATGCGGGGAGTCGACGTCAACTAGGGAGGCCGTGCTTTCCCCTGTTTCACTCAGATAGGTTCGTGGTGGGTTAGGGGCGCGACTGTATTATGGAGAGTCAGTCAATAACCCCAGGAATTTGGCTAATTTCCAGATAACAACTTACGCCTACATTAGAGCCGGTCAGTCAGATCGCCTTTCGAGATACAGCATCCTCATGGGAAGCAGGGGAAACTGTGGGTAAGGCACATACCTCCTCTGGTGTTTGCTTAGGGCCTTTGGCCGCGGCTTCTGCGTAAGACATGTTTGCAGGATTTCTGTGACACAAAGGGCTGGAGGTGATGAAGAAAAGGCCTATTACCAGTCAGTGCTCCGTATTAAAAGTCGTAATGGTGAACAATGGGCGGCATATCGCGGAGCGGCTGCTCCAAGGTCGCCCACGTAATATGGTACATCATCACTTACAGGAAATAAGGTGATGTTTAGGGATTCGGAAGTCGAGGATAGTAAGTAAACTGACAACGGTGTGGGATACCAGAAAGAGAATTTGGGCAGGTGATGACCACTTCTATTTATGCAGAATGCAAGGGCCCCTAGCAATGGCTCACAAGTATGACATCACTGCCTGAAGCGGGAGTGGGCACTGCGCACATGGTCCAAGAATCATGGATGGGCCCATCACCTGTTTATATAACCCCAATCCCAATTTGTCAGTTGCAAGTTTACCGTCATTCTATAATGTTTACCAAGTTGCGCGGAAGTTCGAAGTAAAATGGAAATCTGTCTTCGCGGGCGACTTGGTCAGTCTGCGGTTGTCTCGTCAACTGACCTAGTGACAGCGGAGGGTTGCAGCAGTCCTGGTCAATCTGGTTATCGATGGTTGCGAGGGGTTAAACGCAATGTGAACCATCCTCAGATCATCCTAAGAACGCACCGTCGCCAATCTGGACTGAAACCGGACTTTAGCGAATTCTGGATCGCCTTAGTCACTTTGTTCTACACGATAGAAGTAGACCAGTATACGGGCTTAAAGTTTCTGAAGTAACAAAAGGAATCGATATTGAAATGCTAGAATCGTACTCAAGTGACCAGAAATGGTCGAATCAACTATAGTAGGTATTTTTGGGTACATATTACATGAGACCATAAAGGAACTCCGATCTCAAATGGTACATTTGGTATTTCGGAACTTCGATAGGTCGAACTTCATTCACAGAAGAAGCTCAAGGGGGTTCTCAACAATCTTCTTCAGTTCCTTGATCCATTCAGCACCAACAGCACCATCGACAACCTTGTGGTCGAAGCTGCCAGTCACGATAATCTGGTCATCCCACTCAACAGAGGTACCCTCCTCGGTCTCAACGGGAACAGCAACCTTGCGGGTGGTGCCAACGGCCAAAATACCAGCCTGAGGGGGGTTGATGACAGCGGTGAACCGCTCAATAGCAGGGTTCATGCCCATGTTGCTGATGGTAAAAGTACCGCCCTGGTACTCCTCAGGCTTGAGCTTGTTCTCCCGAGCGCGCTTACCGAGATCCTTGATCTGGTTAGAGATGCTGGAAAGGCCAAGACCATGTACGTTCTTGACAACGGGAGTGATAAGACCATTAGGAGTGGCAACGGCAACACTAATATCAACGGTGTTGTGCTGGCGGATGACAACTTGGCCATTCTCCTCGCGCCAGCTCGAGTTGACCGCAGGAACCTTCAGAAGAGCGGCGGCACAAGCCTTGACAAGGAAGTCGTTGACGGAGAGCTTGTATTTGCCCTCAGCAGAAGCGTTGAGAGCCTGGCGGAGCTTCAGTAGCTTCGTAACGGACAGAGTGGTCGAAACGAAGAAGTGAGGGTTCTCTCTCATCGACTGCTGCAGGCGGGTAGCAATGGTCTTGCGCATAGATGTGAGAGGGATGTCTTCATATGTAGGGGCGGCGGCGGCGGAAACGCTAGGCTTGTACTTCTCCACATCTTCCTTGGTGATCTGACCACCACGTCCAGTACCCTTGAGAGCCTTGATCGGAACACCCTTCTCCAGGGCCAATGCCTTGGCAGCAGGGCTGATGTTGGGCTCACGGTCAAGACTAGGCTGGAGCTTCTCAGTAGATGTCTCAGGCTCCTGAGCGGCGGGTGCAGGCTCGGGCGTCGAAGGGGCTGGTGCAGCCTCAGCCTTGGGCTCCTCCTTGCTCTCCTTGGCGGGTGCAGCTCCCTTATCACCACCGGCGTCTTCTAGAGTAAAGCTCTCAAAGGGGGCGACATCTGTTCCTTCCTCCACAAGGACGGCGATAGGCTGGTTTTGCGCATTAGCGATGGGACTCAGTGGACCACGGAAAATTTTTCAGTCAATACATACAGTGCCGACAGCCACATCCTTCTCACCAGTCTCCTTCAGAACCTTGGCCAAGACACCGTCCTCTTGGAATTCAAAGTCCATCTGTGCCTTATCGGTCTCGATTTCCACGAGAACATCACCCGGCGACAGGGAATCACCGGCCTTCTTCTGCCAAGCCCCAATGTTTCCTGCGGACATTGTGGGCGAGAGGGCAGGCATGCTGATGATGGTGTGAGGGGGGAAGGCTGTAGAGGCGCATGGTTAGGATCAAGTCTTCAATACGCGAATTTGATGGAGACGAGGAAAAACCGAGACGACATACACTTGGAGGCATAGAAACGGGAGAGGGCGGATAAGGCAGGCAATTGAGGTCTATAGATCAGGAAATTTTTATTAGTATCATTGTCAATACAGATTGACCATGAAATGTCCAAGGTGAACCATACTGGACAGCGTCCTTGAATCTGTGAATAACCTGAGGCCGCCTCACGCAGAGGCCGCCTTTCGACAACATGGCGCTGGGAATGCGCATTCGGACAGCAGAGGCAACCATGGTGCCAAATGCTGTAGCTATGATACAATTAAAAAAAGGCCGCGGCACAAGAGAGAAGAGAAGATAAGATGGAGATGGGGCCGGAGGATGAGTCTGGCAAGTGGTAGGGCCTGTATCAGAGAGTTGGGGATGCAGCTCCTGGAACTTTTCTGTTGAGCTTCCGGTGAGCGATCGGAATAGTTGTCGCCGGATTTCTCCAGGACGGCCTTCTCCGAGTTACGTAAGCCCAGCGCCGCATCTTTGGCACGCAGCGGTCGCCGTATATTTGTTCCGCCTGCGGGAGAAAGACACGCAGCCGCATCAGCTCCAGGACCCATGCAATAGCGCGATACTCCGGCCCACGGTTTCTATCTTCTTCCGTCATTTTTCCTTAGTCCGATTCTACATTCCATGTGTATTTTTCGTTTCAGTTATTGAATGCTCCGCTCGGAGTTTCGCATAAATGGCGGATGTTGAGAATGGCTCTTCGCAGGAGCCCAATCGGACATCTGTGGTGCTGCCGCAGGGAGACAACAAAGAGAATACTGTCGATACCTCAACGCCTGCTGAGTCTGAAGATGTTGTCGACGAAGACTCCAAGCCTTCTCTTCCTCTCGAATCACAGAGGCAGAAAATTGATATAGAGGAAGTTACAGACTCCAATTCACCACAGATCAAAGTAGACTCCTCCGAAGTAACAGAGACCGCGGACAAACCTCCGAGTCCTCCGAACGACGCCGCTGATGCTGAAGGTCCCGAGAAACACGGCTCCCCTCAGAGGGGATCAAAAGCAGACGATGTCGCTAGCTCGGAAAACGATCAGGCAGAGGCTCCTCCAGGAGACTCTGCTGGCGACAAGCAGGATGACGGCGCTGTACCCCAGTTTGAGCTTACACCAGATACCCGACTGCGCTCCGACTCGAGATCAACGACTGCTACGTATGCCACTCAGCGCTCCGTGCCTGTCAGCTCTGCAGTGTTCATAGTCAACGCTCTCGAGACAATTGGGGCGTCCAAGGAAGCCAAGAAGAGCAAAGAACTGGATGATGCCGTGAAGAGCGCGTTGGCGAACGTTAAACAATCTGACCGTCAGCCGATCGATCCGGAGCTTATATTTCGCCCTCTTCAGCTTGCGACAAAAAGCTACAGCATCCCCTTACAAGTCACAGCGCTCGACTGTATCGGGAAACTCATAACTTACTCTTACTTTGCCTTTCCATCATCTCAGGACCGCAAGGGCTCGGAAACTGAGGGCACGCCAGAACAAACTCCTCTCATCGAGCGGGCAATCGATGCCATCTGTGACTGCTTCGAGAACGAAGCCACTCCCCTTGAGATACAGCAACAAATTATCAAGTCACTTCTTGCGGCAGTCCTGAACGATAAGATTGTGGTACACGGAGCTGGTCTCCTAAAGGCTGTCCGCCAAATATACAACATCTTCATCTACTCGAAGTCTAATCAGAACCAACAGATTGCCCAAGGGTCACTGACACAGATGGTCAGCACAGTGTTCGACAGGGTTCGTGTGAGACTTGAGCTGAAAGAATTACGTTTGCGTGAAGGGGAAAAGGGACAGGAAAACACACCTGACGCTGCGACAGCCGAAACGGTTGAAGTGCCCCTGTCAACCGATCAGGATCAGGCATCTGATGCAGCCTCTGTTGTAGCACCCGATCAACCCGTGGCGAAGGAGCCTGGAGAAAAGCTTACTCTGCAAAGTTTCGAGTCAGGCAAGGATGTCACGTCGGTCGCGGATAACGCGCCGACAATGGTTACCCGCGCCAAGCTTGGTCAAAAAAGAACGCAGTCATTGTCTAGCACATCAGGGGAAGAAAAGGAGGACGGCGACGGGACTAACGACGATGATGAGGACGAAATTTACATCAAAGACGCATTCCTGGTATTTCGAGCTCTATGCAAGCTGAGCCATAAAATACTCAGCCACGAACAGCAACAAGATCTCAAATCTCAGAATATGAGGTCTAAGTTGTTATCCTTGCACCTCGTTCATTACCTCGTCAACAACCATGTCGCGGTCTTCACCTCCCCGCTCCTAACCATCAGGAACAGCTCCAACAGCTCCGATGCTATGACGCTTCTGCAAGCTGTTCGGCCCCACTTGTGCCTCAGTCTGAGTCGAAACGGGTCGAGCTCAGTGCCCAGGGTCTTCGAGGTTTGCTGCGAAATCTTTTGGCTCATGTTGAAGCATATGAGAGTGATGATGAAGGTTTGTCCATGTGCTTATCTTCTTTGTCTGACGGGTTCTAACTCCTCACAGAAAGAACTTGAGGTTTTCTTGAAAGAGATATACCTGGCTATTCTCGAAAAACGGAACTCGCCTGCTTTTCAGAAGCAGTACTTCATGGAGCTTGTGGAGAGACTGGCCGATGATCCTCGTGCATTGGTGGAGATATATCTCAATTATGACTGTGATCGCACTGCGCTGGAGAATATCTTTCAAAAGTACGTTTGTATCACGTCGTGTTTCAATCTCTTTGGGGCAGTATTGATTGTTTTTGCAGCATCATTGAACAAGTTTCACGATACTCGAGCGTACCTGTCACAGTTTCCGCAGTCCAACAGCAGCATTATCAAGAACACCATGTCAAGGTATCAAAAGTGGGCGCAGATTGGCATCAAAGCGGGACTCTGCCTCCGACACTCACGACAGCGCACATAGCCAGTATTCAGCAGCCAACTTCCCAAAACGTGCCATCTGAGTATATCCTGAAGAACCAGTCGCTGGAATGTTTAGTGGAAATTCTACAGTCACTTGACAACTGGGCCTCTCAACGAATTGATGACCCAGCCGCTGGGGTTACAAATCTGCTGTCCCAGAAATCAATCGATAATTCCAGAGAGTCGATAGACACCAACACTGCGACCTTTATATCCTCTCCAAGGGTCGAAGGCACCGATGGCAGTACTGGTCGGTCGACACCTGTGGCAGAGGACGATCCAAGCCAGATCGAGAAAGTCAAGCAGAGGAAAACTGCGCTGATGAACGCAATTCAGCAGTTCAACTTCAAGGCCAAGCGGGGTATCAAGCTCTTTATCCAAGAGGGCTTTATACGTTCGGACTCGCCCGAGGACATTGCAAGTTTCCTGTTTCGCAATGATCGACTGGATAAGGCCATGATAGGGGAATATCTGGGTGAAGGCGATGCAGAGAACATTGCCATTATGCATGCATTTGTGGACCAAATGGACTTCTCAAAGCGACGCTTTGTGGATGCACTTCGTCAATTCCTGCAACACTTTCGATTGCCTGGGGAGGCCCAGAAGATAGATCGTTTCATGCTCAAGTTTGCCGAGCGCTACGTGACTCAAAACCCGAATGCCTTCGCCAACGCGGACACTGCGTACGTGTTGGCTTACTCGGTCATTATGCTCAATACAGATCAACATAGCGCTAAGATCAAGGGTCGCCGCATGACTAAAGAGGACTTTATCAAGAACAATCGGGGTATAAACGATAACCAAGACTTGCCCGATGAGTATCTGGGGTCCATATTTGATGAGATCGCCAACAACGAGATTGTTCTCGACACTGAACGAGAGCACGCTGCAAATCTGGGCATTCCCGCGTCCACCACCACAGGCGGCTTAGCTTCCAGGGCAGGACAGGTCTTCGCAACGGTAGGAAGGGATATCCAAGGCGAAAAGTATGCTCAAGCGTCTGAAGAAATGGCCAATAAGACGGAGCAGCTCTATCGGAGTTTGATTAGAGCGCAGCGGAAGACGGCCGTTAGAGAGGCCCTCTCACGCTTCATCCCCGCGACTTCGGTACGGCATGTTGGATCTATGTTCAACGTGACTTGGATGTCTTTCCTCTCCGGGTTGTCTGCTCCCATGCAAGACACACAGAATCTTGAAACCATTAAGCTCTGCATGGAAGGAATGAAACTGGCGATACGTATCAGTTGCGCTTTTGATCTGGAGACTCCCCGGGTCGCATTCGTAACGGGCCTTGCCAAATTCACAAATCTGGGCAATGTCAGGGAGATGGTACCAAAGAATGTTGAGGCTTTGAAGGCGCTGCTCGACGTGGCGCTCACCGAAGGGAACAACCTGAAGAGTTCCTGGAGAGAAGTCCTCACCTGTGTCAGCCAGCTCGACCGGCTTCAACTTCTCACTGATGGCGTCGATGAAGGTTCACTACCCGATCCATCACGCGCCCGTATTGTACCACAAACTTCATCTGATGCATCCCGCAAATCTATGCAGGCGTCAAGACGCCCTCCCCGTCCCCGGTCAGTTAACGGACCTACGGCTTTCCGTTCTGAGGTTGCTATGGAAAGTCGATCCGCTGAAATGATACGCGGAGTGGACCGCATCTTTACAAATACTGCAAATCTCACTCATGAGGCTATCATTGACTTTGTTCGCGCTTTAAGCGAAGTGAGTTGGCAGGAGATTCAATCTTCAGGTCAGACAGAGTCCCCTCGAACATACAGCTTGCAGAAGCTTGTTGAGATCAGCTATTACAACATGACCAGAGTCAGGATAGAGTGGTCGAAGATCTGGGACGTCCTTGGGCAGCACTTCAATCAAGTTGGATGCCACACCAACACTACCGTGGTGTTCTTTGCACTGGATTCCCTTCGGCAACTTTCTATGCGTTTTCTGGAAATTGAAGAGCTTCCTGGTTTCAAATTCCAAAAGGACTTTCTCAAGCCGTTTGAGCATGTAATGGCCAATAGTAACGCTGTTACTGTGAAGGATATGATCCTTCGATGCCTGATACAGATGATCCAGGCACGTGGAGATAACATTCGCTCAGGCTGGAAAACAATGTTCGGCGTCTTCACAGTCGCTGCCAGAGAGCCATACGGTAAGCAAGTTTCTTATCGCCTAGGATCTGTGTGATAAGGATGCTAATACCTAGAAGAGGGCATCGTCAACATGGCATTCGAACATGTCACTCAAATTTACAACACGCGGTTCGGTGTGGTCATTACACAGGGAGCTTTCCCTGACCTAATCGTCTGTCTCACGGAGTTCTCCAAGAACATGCGATTCCAGAAGAAGTCTTTGCAAGCGATTGAGACCTTGAAATCAACTGTCACGAAGATGCTCAGGACACCGGAGTGCCCTCTATCACACCGTGGAACTACATCGGAAGGCGTTCAAGACGATGGAACAAACCTGGCCAAACAATTATCACGGCAATCTCAAGAAGAGCAGTTCTGGTATCCTATCTTGATTGCCTTCCAGGATGTATTGATGACGGGTGATGACCTTGAGGTTCGATCAAGGTGAGTTCCGAGTTCTGACTTTGCCCCAGGAACATCGCTGATCAGGAAACCAGAGCATTGACTTATCTTTTTGACACACTGATTCGTCACGGAGGCGACTTTCCTCAAGAATTTTGGGATGTCTTGTGGAGACAGCTTCTCTATCCTATCTTCGTCGTCCTTCACTCCAAATCGGAGATGTCCAAGGTGCCAAACCATGAAGAGCTCTCCGTATGGCTGTCAACAACAATGATACAAGCCTTGAGGAACATGATTACACTTTTCACGCATTATTTCGATGCGCTGGAATACATGTTGGGTCGTATACTCGAGCTTCTTACACTATGCATCTGCCAAGAAAACGACACCATTGCGCGGATCGGTAGCAATTGCCTGCAACAACTGATTCTGCAGAATGTTGCAAAGTTCCAGCAGGAACACTGGACCAAGGTTGTAGGTGCTTTCGTGGAGCTTTTCAGCAGGACCACGGCCTACGAGTTATTCACAGCCGCCGCCTCGATATCTTCGAAGCCAGCTTCGATTAAGAACGGGAACGGGGAGGCATCCAACGAGGATGACCTGCACAAGCCGGAGCAAGAGACAGCCGAGTCAACGCCTGTCCGGGAAACTCCATCGGACGCCCCCAGGGTGAATGGGTCGCAGCCTGTGACTTCTGAGCACGAAGAGGGCGACATGCCTGCCGCTTCGACCCCCGAGTTGGAAGATTACCGCCCGCAGGCCGAAACCCAACAACAACCCGCTGCCGTGACCGTTGCGCGGCGCCGATTCTTCAACCGTATCATAACAAACTGCGTGCTTCAGCTACTTATGATTGAGACTGTCCATGAACTGTTTTCGAATGACAAGGTCTATGCTGAGATCCCAAGCCACGAACTTCTCCGTTTGATGGGGCTGCTCAAGAAAAGCTATCAGTTTGCAAAAAAGTTCAACGAGGACAAAGAGCTTCGGATGCAGCTCTGGCGCCAAGGCTTTATGAAACAACCGCCCAACCTGCTTAAACAGGAAAGTGGCAGTGCTGCTACATATGTTCACATCCTTTTCCGCATGTACCACGATGAGCGAGAAGAACGAAAGAGCAGCCGCCGGGAAACAGAGGCTGCGCTTATTCCGTAAGTATAACGGGCTTCGTCCTTACAAACCACTGCTAACAAAATAATTTTGTCCAGTCTCTGCGCCGATATTATCCGAAGCTTCGTCCGACTCGATGAAGATTCTCAGCACCGAAACATAGTGGCCTGGCGCCCTGTAGTTGTTGATGTCATCGAGGGCTACACAAACTTCCCGTCTGAAGGTTTCGATAAACATGTCGAGACTTTCTACCCATTAGCGGTCGATCTATTGGGCCGCGACCTTAACCCCGAAATCCGCCTCGCTCTTCAGTCCCTGCTTCGAAGAATCGGAGAAGCAAGACTGGGTATAGCTGCTGTGCAGACACCCATCAGCCCCAGGAGCTCTATCTCGCAGCACCACTCCCGCAGGTATAGTCGGGATCACTAAGTGTCCGGGGTCGGAGTTCTGATGAAACGGTGGTTTGTTGGCCTTTGACTTTTATTTCTTTTTGGATATCCTTGCCTACTCTATAAGAGGCTATTTTACTTCGATCGCCCACTCTGGAGGAGTGCTGAATGTAGACTTAACAAATATATTGCAATGCCATTCTCGGACTTGTAAATTATAAGAATACAGACCGTCTACCTATTCTATCAATATCAAATTACCGAACTTGAGCTCGGCGAAGCAGACGTCGCTGTCACTATGATATTTGCGGCCGTAAAGCGGCATCAAGCCGATACATCAATCGCATCATTCTTGGCAAGTAGATATTGGCGACACAGTCGAGGCTGTCCCAGTTAACTAGCAAATTGTACATACATCAACTAGCTGCAGTGGACTTCATTATAAGACGGAATATTGCCAGATGCGAAGTGAGTAAGAAGACGATCCATGTCCTGTTCGCTCATTTTAACGAGCTCTTCGAGACTCCATGACTCGCAGACCCCAGACATCCTTTAATAAGTCAGCAGGCAGCTCAATCGGAAAGGTAAGTCTACAGTACCACTTCATTCTCTTAGGCCCCTCCTCTGGCCTGGCAGCGACCTCGCGCAGTTTCTTACGTAGTTTGCCCACATTTTCTATGGCGGCACCCATGTTGTCGGGCAATGATGCTGCAATTTTTTTCCGAATGATACTTGCGAGTTTAGGTCCATTTCCATTCGTGCTCACCATGACTTGCAGTGGTCCATCACGGTACATGCTGCCAAAGTAGAAGTCGCACTCTGCGGGCACATCGGCTATGTTGGCAGGTATTCGCTTCTCCTTGCACAGTTTCCAGACGCGAGACGAGGCGTCGGGGTCATCAATGGCACAAAGTACCATATCTGCTCCTTCTAGATCTTCTGGCTCAAATGTGCGATCGACATGCGTGACTTGGCCCTCAGATACACGGAAAGCGACTTCATCATTGAGACCTGAGCCAGGACAGACGACTGTTACTTTGGCATCGGCGTTCAGCGCGTGGAGAATGCGGCCTGCAGCTACCTGTTGGATGTCCTCGTTAGCTCTCTGTGGTGATACATATATATATATTTTCTGCGGCGGAACATGCATAAGACTATACCTCACCACCGCCGACCACTAGGACATGTTTATCTTTGACTTGCCAAGCGACTATCATGGAGCCTCCCCCCTGGACTGGAGGGTACTTGTGCGACATTTTAGCATAGGATAGATATTTTGAAGCTTTACTGAGACGTTATCTGTAGCGGGGGAGTCATTTGTAGTGCCGCTATCTATCGATTGGCGGGGCCATTGTACGGGGAGCTAGAGACACCCAAGACGACTTGGCCTATTTTACCTTTTCCCTTCTCCGCCAAGTTTTTTTCCTTTTCCCTCGGCCATTTGAAATGCCCTTCACAACCCCTACCTCCTTTCTACTCTTCGCTCCCTTCTCCCCATTGTCCATGCCTTCATTTCGCAGTACATAATAGGTCACAATGCGGGGAGTACAAATCTTCTCTGGGACATCCCACCCTGTCCTTGCTGAGACCATCTGCGAGCGTCTAGGCACACTCCCCGCTCGGGCAGTGCTCGGAAAATTTGCAAATGGCGAGACAAGAGTGGACATTGGAGTCTCTGTGCGGAACCAAGATCTATACATTGTCCAGAGCGGCAGTCAGAAGATCAATGATAGTGTCATGGAGCTCCTGATCATGATCTCTGCTTGCAAGGGTGGTTCCCCGAAGTCGATTACAGGTGAGCTTTTTGTCGAATGATTTGATGACCTTTGCAAAAGCTAACCCGATTTTGCGATAGCCGTCATGCCGTATGCTGCCCGTCTAACGTGAAAATTGCGCATTGTGCTGACATGGACGAGGTACTTTCCTTACTCCCGCCAGTCGAAAAAGAAGAGCCATCGGGGAGCCATCACCGCTCGAATGCTGGCGAACTTGCTTTCGGTCGCGGGAGTAGACCACGTCATTACTCTTGATTTACATGTGAGTTTAACAGATGGTTGATACAACGGACGAATAGACGTCTGACTGAATACCAGGCGTCACAAATGCAAGGTTTCTTCGGCAAGCCTGTGGATAACCTCTTCGCCGAGCCTTTCATCGCCCGTTGGATTCGGATGAATGTCCCTGGCTGGAAGGAGGCTGTCGTTGTTAGCAAAAACGCTGGAGGTACCAAGCGTGTAACATCGCTAGCGGACACCCTGAAGCTCAATTTTGGCATTGTCACAACCGACAGACGCCGTCCGAAGGTCACTCTGTCCATGACAGATAGTACTGTTTTTTTCGACTCCATGAATGATAGCGTTCCCAAAGAGCCGAGGCCTTTTGTCCTACACCTCCGCAAGAATTCCCACGGCGGCGAATCGAGCGAACACAACACCGCAGAGCCCGAGGAACTACTGCGCCCGGAGACACCACCCGCTGCTCGTCGCCCGTCAGAGTTGGAAGCAGCTCACGAGTACACAGACGTGCGTGTGCGTGATGTGATCACTGGTCGACTTGTACAGGGCCATATCGTGGATGATGATTTCCCCTCGGGTGGTCCCACCTCGGTACCTGCCTCTGGCCATACAACCCCAGGACAGCCGTCCAGCCAGGATCAACCCGAGTCCGTACCGGACGCGATGGTCAACTCGTTTATCTCGACCACATCTTCTCTACCTGGAGATCATGCACTTGGCGGGTCGTTCGATGCCGCTGAATCTTCGGATGAGGAAGAGAGCAACGGGCGAAGTGTCGAGCAAGAGAAGATGATCACCCTGGTTGGTGATGTTCGAGACAGGACTGTTTTCCTTGTCGACGATATGATCGACAAGGGTGGCTCGTGGATTGCTGCAGCAGAAACGGTGGTCAAACGAGGCGGGGCTAAGCAGGTCTACTGCATTGCCACACATGGAGTTTTTGGCGGCGATTCCCTCGAGCAGATGGAAGCGTGTGACGCGATCGACTATATTGTCGTCACGAATACCTTCCCAATAACTCCCGAGAAGATGAGAAAGTCAAAGAAACTGGTTATAATCGACATATCAAGTCTTCTTGCGGAGAGTATCCGACGCCACCATTACGGTGAAAGGTTTGTAGTTCTGCGGTCTGATCCTTGACTGAGTCAACTTGCTAACTTTCAATACAGTGTGTCGGCGCTTTTCCACCTCAATGACTAACCTGCGTCACCAAGTCTATCCATGTGGTATACGAGATTATTTCGCATACTATCAATGAATGAACATGCGACAATCCGGAAGTGTTGGTAAGAACGATGCATCAACAGTAACGACAGCTTACGACTCTCTTCTTTTCTCTTGTATTGATGACACTTTTTTTATACTCACGAGGAGGTCAAGGGTATTTGAGTGTATCTTCAATGTGATACATTTGCTGGATTTTTTCTCTCCCGATGTGAAGGGTGCTAGAGATACTGACTGGCGTCAGAACAAAGGCGCCCAGGTTTGACGTCTGAATAGGCTAAGATTGAACATTCTTAGCTCACCTATAGTGCAATATTATACCCAATGTCGGCAAGACACATCTTCGATTTCAGTGATATATGAGCCTTGAAGCTAGCTTCAACGGACTATGTCCATCTACACCAACGGTGCAGTCCACTTTGGGTACTGCAGGAGCATCTTGTCTTTACAAAGATTGTTCTTAACGGAGCGTTGGAAGAGCAAACATTTAGCCTTGTCAGTCCTCTGTCTTCTTCATGTCATTTGGCATGGAGGGACGGATGCGCTGCAGGGCTATATCGAGGAATGAAGGCATCAACTTCTGAGTCCCCGTCAATTGACGTGGGCTCTGGTCCTTTGGACCGGTGGACTTGATGCAAGAGAACATCTCGAACATTCTCATGTTATGTATCACAATGAGCTAGTAGCAAATATATAGATGATGTGAGGAATGGCTTGTCAGTAAGTCGAGGATTGTCTCGTGCTGCCGCTGAAATGGTTCTTCCGGTGGATCCTTGTAAGATCTGCGGTGCAAGAGGTAGCCGGCTGGTCTTTTCATAGATCTCTACTGTGACTATGCTGTATATTCTCGTCTCCATCCAAGTCACCCTCGTTTGATTGCAAGGAGACCCGCAGAACTAGCTGATACGTAGCTTGTAGTAGTCAGTTCCAGAGCTAGTCCGATGGATCTCGCAAATATTCAGTCAGAATCCCTCCCGATGTTTTCTTTATGAACAAGGGTGTATCAAGCGGTGTGCGCATAACCGTTCACTCGGCGCTTCGCTGCGGTGAGGCGCTTCTATCGACGTAGTTCTACAGAGAAGATTCGATCTACCTCATAATTCATGAACGAACATCACCAGGATCGCCATTGATATCACTGTGATGAGATGAGATTTGTAATATCATTTGAGTACCCCACGGCGTAGTGAGTAAACAGGCAGTTCATAGTGCTGACAACCTGACCCGAATTCCAGGATAGGTCTTGCTCTCGGGCCTCTCCCTGCATACTTCTGATAGATAGTCGCCGGGACTCACACCGTAGCATACATATCCCTGGATCGCGGTAGGGGGTATATTTGCCGGTGCGGTGTGCAGCGATTCCAAAATCCAACCACTTGCTTGTCATATGCATTGTCGCGAGGAAGAAGAAATTGTCGACTATCTCGATCTTCTACAATCAGAGCTGCGGCTGCGGTTGGAGCAGGGATTGACATTCAGCTGCAGCCTCACCTTGTGGAGCTTGCGATGCGATGGTTTCCAAGGCGCCAGGACAGAAATTAATGTACAAAAGTACGTCTGAAATTAGTACGTAGTGGGTTTAAGTGGGGGTTCCCCAAGTATGGACTTCCCGCCGAAGTCATGGTCATGGACTCATGGCCAGGGCGAGACGCACACTCGGTAATGAAATGTGATATGTCGACTTGTCAAAACACCGCACAAGTACCATGCGTCATCGGAGACGGGAAGGACTTTTAATTTCGAGTCCAGGGCTGTGGCAAAATGAGCAAGGGGTGAGACTAACAAGTGAGAACTGAGCAGTCTCGGATTAGTTCGAGATGGTTGGGACTTAGTGCACCGGGGAAGCACAACCGGTAGATCAAAGCCAAAGTTCGTGCTCCTGTGGAGTTTTGGACTTTTCAGGGAATCCAGGCTTTTCTTGCTTTCCAGCTCGTATTTCAGGACACGGTGGACAGTGACATGGATTGCTCGGTTTGTTATCGTATATGAGGACCAATCAGTTGATTAAGGTAGGTATTTCATCATACCTCTTGTCCATTCCTGAGGTGAATACGTACTATGCTTGTGTTCAGCCTGGTCGATGTGATAAAGTCGACAATCAACAATCCCAATAGCAACGATGAATAGACGATTGACAGGGAACTGACAGCCGCCATGTATCCAGGATACCTCTCCTGTTCCCTTAGCGTTCCTTCGAATCAGTCTCGACTCTCAAGTCATCAACTTAATCGTTTCAATATACGGAGGAGTCCGCGTGCCGTCAATTCGTAAAGACCATGGAGCATTGGGTTTAGATCCACTGCAGGTGTCCCGAATTGGCCAGGATGTCCACCGGAGAACCACTAAGAGGGCCGGAACTTTTATTTTTTAAAAACAGTTCCCTCGCTCGTTTTTCGGTTTCCGGAAGTACCCTGAGTTCAGTCCAGAACTGACCATTTACTTATTCGGTGTAGTCTGGAGTGTGGTGGAAAGTCGCGGCAGTTGACCGTTACGTGTTACATACACTCTTGGAAAGGCATAAATATGAACGACCGTCCTGTTTCTTTCGAAAGAGCGAACTAGCATGAGTCGATTTGGTTATCGCAGTGTACATCAAAGCAAATCAATTTGACCATTGATAGACTATGGACAACCTTGAGCTTGAGGGCTGGCAGAGAAGCCACTCTAGCCGCGAACCCGGTTGGCGGGCCCACGGATCACCCTGCACAAGCACGCCACGATCACCCAGCATCGGGCGAGATCTGTCAGAGTATTATGATTACTTCTTCCAGGGTCATTGTTCTCGTGTACAGACTAATACAAAGAAGTAGGGAGCTCTCTGGAATGAAAATTTATCATAATTTGGTAGAGTACGTACTGTAGCACCTAGCATATGTAGGTAGGACGCGCCAAATTCATTGGCGGGTGGTATGAATTGTATGTGTGTTTGTTTCCCGTTCCTCTCTCAGTTCCCCTGCTTTGAGTGGATCATGTCGAGTAATACGTTGGTTGAGATTAATCATCACTTGCTACTAAGT